GGTACACTGCTGGAGGAAATTAATCCTGTCTCTGACACCATCTTCTCACCAGATAAAGTTGTGCTTGACAGTGAAGATGGAAATGGAAGCACAGTCTGAGAAATAAACCCTGCCACATCAACCATGCTATGACAAGATGCTTCACTTGGAGGTGAGTTTTCGTTTGAATTATCAAGCAGAAAGGACCCCCTTAAAGGAGACATGGTTGAAATATCCACTGCATCTACTACGTTCTCCTTAGAAGATACAACAGAACTCGTCATTTCAATAGACCTAAGAGTGCTTAAAGAATCAATTAATTCCGATGACACGACAATGCTGGAGGAAATTAATCCCGTCTCTGACCCCTTGTTCTCACTGGACAAAGTTGTTGTTGACAGTGAAGATTGAAGCACATCATGAGAAACAAACCCAGCCACATCAACAGAGCTATGACAAGATACTACTCTTCCATGTGAGTTAGTATTTGAATTCTCAAGCAAAATGGATTCCATTAATGGAAACCTGCTTGAAAAGTCAGCTGCGTCTACTATGCTTTCCTCAGAAGATACAACTGAACCTGTCATTTCAGTAGACCTAAGAGCACTTAAAGAATCAATTGATTCTGATGACAGGATAGTGCTGGAGGAAATCAATCCCATCTCTGACACCTTGTTCTCACTAGAAAAAGTTGTGGTTGACAGAGAAGATGGAAGCTCTGTATGAGAAATAAATCCATCCACATCAACATGGCTATGACAAGATAGTGCTCTTGCAGGTGCATTTTCATTTGAAATCTCTAGCAAAAAGGTTTCCCTTAATGGAGACCTGCTCCTTAAATCAACTGCATCTACCATGTTTTTCTCAGAAGCTACAACTGAACTCATGATTTCAGTCGACTTTGTAGCACTTGAAGAATCAGAGACACACTTAGAGTCATCTGCAAAACTATTAGGAAAAGTTATCACATTGTCATTGGATTGACATTTTTCTCTAGGAGCTGAAGTTACAACAGTAATGTCATCTGGAAACTCTTGAGAAATTTTACCATTACAGGCAACAAACTCACACTGCAATGGATCTCCAAAAAATTCTTCCTTCCCAGGAGAGGTAAACTCTGAACCCTCATCCAAACACGGTTTCTCCATTGCAGTGCTTTCTTCAAACTTAAGTTTGGAGTTCCCATCTGTGAAAGCATCAGCAATTTGTATTGGTGCTTCGTCAGAGTTTGCAGCCTCAAGGGGATCAAATTCACTTGGCTCAAAATGTGAGTTTTCATTCTCTTTGTCTACATGATTTTTGTCAATACCCATCTCTGATTCAATTTGGCTATGAATGGCAGCATTTTTTTCAAGAGGCTTCTCTTGAACATCATGTTTGACAGGATCCATTACAGGATGAAGCATATCAGTTATGACATCAGAATAAAATTTCTTCACATTTTTACCGACACTTTGCACCTGGTTTTCAACATATTTCACAGCTTCCTGTAGATTAAACCATTTTAAATATTATGAAGGTATTCAAGGATGAGGATGCACATATATTATGCACCAAAGATTGCTATAGACATTTGACTTTTATGGCTAACCCAGTAGTATAGCAGCATAACATGATGGCACATATAAATACCATAACCAAATTAAACAAAGACATATAGCTCAAAGACATCAGACAAATTCTTTATTTTATGATTAGAATAGAAAAGCAATACCTGGTTCACAATATTATCCACCTCATGGCACACCTTCTCAAACTTTTGATAAAAGTTCCCTGCCCAGGATATACCTTTGGATTTTAAATCCATTATCAATATCTATCAGATGATTGGAGCCACCACTGCTTCACATGGCTCAGTCTTTGAAACAGGTATGAGCCATAATCTGCAAATAAAAAAATAAAAATAAAACCTTAGTAAAGATTAAGCAACATGAATCGCAGGAAGACAACTCAGACAAACCATAGTATCAGGATTTGAGCTCAGATAACTTCACAGAAGCAAGTTAAGGATTGGACAGATTATCAAGCAAAAATTTTGCAAAATTTATCTTTCCAATCCTTGAAAGATAGCATCCAGAGTATCCATGCATGATCACACTAATAAACCATAACCCAGACACAAAGAACTGAAAAAAATTAATTCATACACAAATCATCATGATCTCACAAGTTTGGCTAGTCTGTTTCTGAAACAGACTTTAGTTTCTAAAAACTACAAAGGCCACTAGGATAACAGTACTGGAAACAACACTTTGGTCTCTCCATAACAAAGTTTTGTTACTTTGCTAAGTTTTTAATGCTTTTTTATCTATAAAAATTGATAAAAACATCCAGAAGTTCCCTCTTTTTCTTTTGCTCAAAAAGCTTTTTCAAAGGGAAAAAACTACACACCTCCAGAAACCACAGAACAAGTACCGATCTTTATCCACAGAAAATCAATAGCTGAATTCACATCCCTCTTTCAGATATAAACACATGCACATACACTATCGTTCGTACATACATACATACATACATATGTATACACAGAGAGACAAACATGCATAGGCTCTAGAATCACAAATTCTGAATTTTTGTACAAGAATCAGTAGTTTCTCTAGCTAAGACATGATGCTACATCCATAGATGATCAACTACATACATACACAGAACAAATTCAGGGGAATTTTTAATTTTCTACATGAATTAGCACACAAGTCTTGAAAACTGAAGAACGGAAAACCCTCGATAGAGAAAAGCAAAGCAGAAGAAGATGAGAGGATTACTGACGAGCGGAGGCCGGCCGACGATGACGGAATCCACTCTGGTGTCCGGCGGTTTGACGGAGGTTTTGGAGAGAAAGAGGCGGTGGGAGTTTTAGTGTTTAATCCTCTAGTGGTTTTTACATCAGCAGAATTCTAAAACGACACGGCTTTTTTATGTATTTCCTTGTTTTTTATTTTCTTTCTCCTCTTCCTTCTTGATTTATGTGTCAAATTTATGTTAACTATATTAAATTATAGAATAAAAATAAATATATATGAGTTAAAAATAATTTTTAATATTAAAAATTATTTTTTATTTAATAATTTAATTTGTACTCCTTCTGTTTGAATTTATTGAGCGTTTTAGAAATACACATGAGAATTAAAAAAATTAATTAATTACTCTTAAATTTAGAGATTTTTAATATTAAAATATTATTATACCTTTTTAAAATTATGTAGTTAAAGAGGGGAGAGGAATTAGTAAAAAAAACACCAATAAAGATAAATTTAGGAAAAAAATTAATACAATCTTGATTTACTAAAACGTTGATTATTTAGAAATAATTTTTTCTTTAAAAAACGATTAATACAGTGGAAGAGAGAGAGTAAATTTTAATACAGTTTATGTTAAACTGTGTAACATTTTTTTAATTTTTTAATAAAATTCCTTGCAAATTCTCTTTAGGCTATATTCCAATCTATAATTTCTAAATGGCCCCTGAACTTGTGCGTTCATTTGATTTTCATCCTCAAGGTTATGTTTGGGAAATTAAGGCCCTGTTCCTGTTCTCAGTGGTGTGAACCTAGAATTTTCTTCAATGGTATCCACTAGGGTCACTAAGGAGTACAAACCCTGTTTGAACTTTTGCAAGTTTGGAATTTAGTTCGATTAAATTTTTATTTATTGATCAGTTTATTGTATGATGATCTTTAAATTACTAAAATGATTCATTGACAACGTTTATTGATAACATGACATGATAATAATTTTTTAATTAATTTTTTCACTTAACAAGGTGTAGAACTTAGTATATATTCATTTATTTAATTTCTTATACTTGTTATCAATAAACATTGTCAGGAGATCATTATTATTTGAATTAAGTGATCTTAAGTGATACAATTTATTTAACAAAAATTATTCCTTACTACAAACACATAGCATTAAACATAAATTTCAGACCATATTTAACTGAGACCCAGTAATAACACAAAGGGAGAGTGGCTTCATTTTAGGTCATAAATAGAAGATATAGACATACTTTTTCAACCAAAAACAAACGCACAGCCGCAGAGCCTTCATTTTCAGTCCTAATTCATGTGGGTGACTTACCAGTTGCAAGGCACGAGACCCCAAGTTCTTAATCGGCTATTTGCTCAATAATAATGATACAATTATTTCAATACACGTAAAATTATAAGTTACAAGTGATTATTCATCATTACGAGTATTATTACAAGTAGATTTTTCAATAATAATAATAATAATAATAAACCAATTACATAATAATATATTGTAATTCTAAACTTAACGCATTAAAAAATTAACTAGAGCTAGAAAGGACTACCTTGAAAATTCTATATTTCAGACTTGGAAAGAACCATTTTATGGTGTGAATTACATCATACGACAAACATGAGATGAGAGATGGATCGAGACCCTCCCCGTCTAAGAGCCCACGTTTCACATTCCAATTCAGTTGAGATGGTAAAACAACAATCTCTTCAAATTATTCTCATTTACTTAAATATTCCCTCCATGCAGAATTAATTGTTCTACTTTACCTTTGTGACAAACAAAGGAAAATATTTGTAGTCAAATCAAACTACAAATACTAATTCTGATTTACCCACAAAAAAAAAAAAAAATTATTCTGAATTGAGATTTGAGGGAGCACTTTTTTCACGAGTAAAAATAGGTGGTCATTGATAAACTATAGTAGCCAAATTAAAGTCAGTAACCACAATTACATAATTTAGCCCATTCAGAGTTGGGAATAAATCTAGGCGGCCTTCCCTGCTCTCCTTTTCGGACCGTCGTACTGCCAAGCCGTCTTGCTGCTTGTGATCTTGGCGTAGTCTTCCCCTCTCATGCTCAACAACAAGTGCAAACAAAGAGGGACAAAAAAAATTATGGAAGCCAGTGATGACAGGACAATAAAGGCCAAAGACATTCCCAAAATCAACATAA